TTCTTTTTATTGCTGGTCTAGTCTTCCTGTTAATTTTTCTTTCTTTCTGAAAAGTCCAATGATCAAAACTATACAAAAAGTCCTAAAGGTGGATGGATCACTGCTGCAGAGAAATGCAGAAAGATTACCTCTCAGTTCTGTAATACTGAATATTATCTGAATATCTCCAAATAGCTCACTTTCTTTTAATATTCAGTTTTAAGTAAAGAGTAACAACATAGCAAGACAAGCCCCTTAGGGACATAAACTTAGTGTGTTCTCAAACTAAGACAGAAGAATAACTACACTATAAGCACATTTTCAGCCAGCTATGTAACCTCATGAAAAATCAGAAAACACTCCTTTTTCTACATTCCTTGGTAGATCATTTTACCTTGCCTAAGAAGGAAATGGTTTTCTCTATAGCCTGTTCCTTATCTACTTCAATACTTAAACCCTACGGAAACAGTAATCAACAGTACATTAACATGTTCTATATCATATTCAGACACCAGACATGAAAAACCCAAATGTTTCTAAGCAACTATCAATTAAAATTAGTAGACCAATCCAAAACACACACTGGTACTCCAAATTGCATTTTATATTATTTTCCATGTACCTCTACATTGCTGCTATTTCATTTTGAACTGACAGTTAGATCACTTAATAGGGTGACAGTTGCATATTTTTTTTTCCTTCTTAAAAAGAACAATGTCTGCTCTTCAGTAAGGATGATACTTTAAATGAATTCTGGGGTGAGGACTAGCCTACAAAGTCTTCTGAATTTGAGATTAAAACTTTACCTCCCCATTAGAAATGGTAGGTCTCACTTCCAAGCAATTTTCATTAACCTTTACTTTGAAGATCATCTTCAATAAACACCGAAGCAAATTATTAATTCTATTTGAAGGCCAACCATACCCTGGGCTGCATCAAAGAAGCAGGGCCAGGAGGTCAAGGGAGGTGATTCTCTATTCTGCTCTGGTGAGACCCCACCTGAGCACTGTGTCCAGCTCTGGAACCCTCAGCACAGGGAAGACATGGACCTGTTGGGGTGCGTCCAGAGGAGGGCCACAAAAGTGATCAGAGGGATGGAACACCTCTCCTGTGAGGAAAGGCTGAGAGAGTTGGGGCTGTTCAGCCTGGAGAAAAGGCGGCTCTAGGGAGACCTTAAAGCAGGCTTCCAGTACCTAAAGGGGGCTTATAAGAAAGATGGGACAAACTTTGTAGCAGAGCCTGTTGCAACAGGACAAGGGGTAATGGTTTTAAACTACAAGAGGGTAGATTTAGACTAGATATAAGGAAGAAATTTTTCACGAGGGTGGTGAAACACTGGAACAGGTTGCCTAGAGAGGTGGTAGATGCCCCATCCCTGGAAACATTCAAGGTCAGGTTGGACCTCTGAGCAATCTGATCTAGTTGAAGATGTCCCTGCTCATGGCAGGGGGATTGGACTAGATGACCTTTAAAGGTTCCTTCCAACCCAAACTACTCTATGATTCTATTTCAAAGCTATTCCCAGATCATGATTAATCTTAATTCCAGCCTCTCTGCCCAATTCTTCTTGACCAATTTCTTTACATCAACATTTATCTTCTTCTTCTATTATTTTACAATATCCAACAGCTTAACTTCTTCCAAGTTGCACTTTATTCTTACGCCTCCTGACTTACCAGACATATTGAAAAGATCAGCAAAAACTTACATCTTTCTAGGCTAGCAAACAAAAGTTTTTTTGGTTTTTTTTTGTTTGTTTGTTTGTTTTTTGAAACCCAGGACACTAGCCTCTGAAACCACCAAATTTAAACACATCAAACCCTTGACAGAAACACAAATATCCTTTTTTCTTTACAAAATACAGAATTCCAGTTATCATCAATAATTAGTAATATTTATTTTATGAAGAAAATTGTCGTTTTATTTTTCCGCTGTGCCAAAGCCACACACTTGCTCTACAAGTAAAATGTAGAGTATGTAACCTTAATGAAACAATGGCGAGTCAGATACTTCTGAAAGCCATTGTCTTCTCCATGTTGGCAAATCTACTTTACATAGCTATTTAGTCTATGATAACGTTACTTCCTAGATTAATATCTGTAAGAAAAAATATCCAGATTCCTGTTGCAGATGGAACAATAAAAATCTGAATTTTTCTTTTATACAGCTTTGATGCATCTAAATTCATAACCTTAGACTTCCAAATCCACTCTTTCAAAGAGCGCAAATGTACTCTTCCCAGCTGGAAGAAACGTTAGTAAACAGACTAATAAGGACTGTAGCCCATGAGCCATTACACCAGCGTTCAAAAAAACCAAAACAAAACCTCCTACCAAAATGAAAGGGACCAGAGTATTCAAATATCATCATGTAGTAGAAAAAAAAAACCCAATCACAGGGACTGACTTCAACCTAACAATATAATCTACATTTTTATCAAACTGGACACTCTAGCACTTCCAAAACACTAGACCACGGATTAGTGGGACCTCCTAAAGTACAAATGTCAACAGTGCAAAGCAGTTCATGAACAATATGAAATGAATTGTAAACATCTACACTCAGGATACCAACATCAGGGACAGCAACTCCACTTCCTTATTTCTGGATGGACGACGTAGTAACATACTACTTTATCAAGCTACTTTGATCTTTCCACACAGATAACTGCTCTCAAGCCTGGTTGGCTGTACACGGTCCACATCCCTGAGCTATCATGAAAGAAAAGAAAAAAAAAGCTAACAAGCTTTCTCATGAGTGAAGCATGACAATCCCAAGAAAAAGCCTGATGGCAAAATGATTTACAAAAGAGTAACTTTTGCCTAAGACAAGCGGAACTGAGAGGTGAATGTTACACACCGCTTTATTGCATGTCCATGCAAGAAGCAGAAGAGGGAGGTAGAAGAGGAATGCTGTCCCAGTTCACATCTATGATGTGAAAATACATCTTTCTAAAATAGAAAATGTATTGAATGACAGTTAAGAACAATTCACTTGTGGTACAAACATTTTCCCAGTGATCTTATTACAAATCTATGACACAGACTTTCTCATATTGACGTACAAATAGCTCCTACAAGCTACTACAGCCAGTAACATATATTCTCCGTTTCTTTGTACAGTTTATGAATCTGTTTCTCTCCACTACTGTATTAAATGTCAATGTTGCACTGTGGTAACATATTAGCTGTCAAGGAAAGGAAGCACACCTCATCACAGTTTGTTCAGGTCAAACACTTTATCCAGACAGTATCCCTGCAAATTGCCTGCTTGTCCCTAAAATGTTAACCCCATTTGTAACAGAATATAATTCAAAAAATAAACTCATGAATCAAAGGGATGAGATGCAATACTGACCCTCCAGGTGTAAGTGTAGAAAAACAAGTTACTTATCTTTTAATAACCGTTCTTTGATATGTTTTAGTTTCTGTGACTCCTGTTTCTGAAAGGATGCACCTACAACTTGTTCTCTTAGCAGTGTCTCTGCAGACACAACTTCTATATACTCTATGCAGGAGGTGCAAAATTATAGATGGAATAGGCCCATTTTTATTCAATTCCTTCATTTTCATGGAAATCCAAAGACAGACTTAATTTCCATCAGAGGCGAAAGTGAATTTAGGGATCCAGATAGCCAAGCACACAACCAACCCAATCTACTGTAAACAAACATACATCTTTTCTCCTTTAATCATTTGCCCACACAGCCTGGTAGACAAAGCTGGTTCACAGAGATGCAACTAACAGGAATGCATCCACAGGCACTTCTTGAGTTAAGGTAAACAAAGCAATGACTGTACTTTTAACTCCCAGGCAACTCATCTATAGAATTAAGGACCTGAGTTCTTACTTCCTCCAAGCGCGTGAAAATATGCTCCAGTGTTTATGGATTCAGAGTGTCCATCCCTTACACAGAAGTCAAAAGCTAAGCACATTTGCAGAATGAATTTGTTACCGAAAAATAAAAGTAAATATAATGCAGATGTACTAAATAATACAGAAAGATAAAAGTAACGGCAAGAGACAACTGACAACTGGGAAGTTGTGAAGCTTAGGAATCAAATAGCGGTAGATGATTAACAGGTTATGCAAAATTCAAATTGTTTTCATAAAAATTTTAGGTCTGGCTAAGAATGGAAGGGACTATTTTTCACAGGCTCGAAAACAACTAAGGAGTAAGCAAATCTGCAGTACAGAGCAATCAAACAAATGACAGCAAGAATTTCTTCCACTATTTTGACACTGAAGTCAATGTGTTGCCCTAACTCCACTCCAAACACAACATTCTTCTCATCTCAGTCTTCCAAGCAAGGCAGATTTTCAAGTCAGGAGACCGATTTATAACGTTTCTTGTGTCACCTGCGTATCTCATCTCTAAGATGAAAACTATACATTGTCAAGCCAGTACGTTTTAATAAAATTTACCAGAAGATAACTACACTAACTGCCACTAACAACTCTTATCTCTAAGTAGAAAGAGCCTTAACAATAGGCCTAAGTTGAATTCTTAGGACTTTTCCTTAAGTCAGACGAAATGCACAAGGTGCATAAGCAGTTCCATAATCAAAAGATACTACACGTGGATGTTAAGAAACAAAGGTTTCTTCTTTCCTTTGCCTTTGCTTTTTTTTTTTAAAATAAAGAAGAATCTATTCTTGCAAGCAAAATGTTATTAACTGCAATTAAGAGAAAGAACCAAGCCTCGTAAAACTTGACAGCATTATGTTCTATTAATTTTTAGTGAACAAGGATAGTATTTATATTAGAAACCATAGAGAGCTTTCATATATTTTAATCAACCACATCCTATTAGAACAACATTTCCAGTATCATTACACAAATTACATTGAACATTGATATAACCTTTTCCATTATGTCTCTGCCTGACTATTAATACTTCTCTACACTTCAATGCTATATGAATATTGTGGTGGTATACATGCAATATTCCATTTTCTTAAGAGGCAGGCAAATGAATCAACATTTAAAATATATAACAACATGAAAGATTTTGAACTTACCTTCTTTTTTTGTGTTCTGTTCCTGCCTCCCAACCAATCATCCATCTGTTCCTCAACCTCTTCAATTGAAGCTCCATGATCATACAATGGTATATACGCACTTGACTCCAGAACAGTGTATACAGGGAATTCTGATTTTGGTTTCTTGACTTTAAGCTTCTTCTCCTCTATACAAAAGCAAAAAAGAAGAAGTAGTAATGCTACTAATACTGCAGAGAAGTATAATTCAGAAGCAGGCTTAGCCCCTCAACTCTTAATGCCAGATTAAAATTTCTACTGAGGAAGGGGTTTTAATTTCTTTGTTAAAAAGAGAATTCAGAGTTTTGCATAATAATTTTATTTTTATGAAAATAAACAGCAATGCACCCACTTAACACCTCTGAACTTTGCCTTAAAGGGCCAAATGAGGAGTCCCTCAAAATCACAGTTAGCTCTGGTCACTGCTACACCACCTGGCAATTAAGATTAGTACAGGCAAAAGCATAAGGAGCTGTTAAAAAATTTCAAAAGTCCAGCTGGCTTCAAAGAAACTGGCAAAGGCAGAAAGGTGAGTTTTACACAGTTTTGTATTACTTTATGGTCAGCTGTGCTGAGTAAAAGCTTCTGAGTCAATAGATAGTTTGTCTGTCCTCAGATTTCTGTAACTACAAATAGCTCTGTTATAGCACTTATACATTCAGGAAGATTTAAATGTTGGCCCTAATTTCTCAAACTGATCACTGTTTTCTGTGCTCTCTGGCCTTCAAATGGTATTAAATGGGAGCAGCAAACTTAGGGGACAGGAGGGAGGGACAACAACAACAACCATCACCACCTAAACCCCAGCAACTGAAAACATATCTGCTATATAAGATGATCTCAAAAGATTTAAGATTAATTGAAAATTGCTAGAACTTTAGGAAAGACAAGAGGATGAGGATCAGAAAAAGAAACTTGAACACTTGGAAAGCATCCAGAAACCTCAGGTATGCCAAGTGGGACTCTCTTGGTTTTTCCTCATTGTTTTAAAAATATGCAGTACTCTCAATAACTGGATGCTCCTAAGGATGCTACTAAACCGAAAGAGCTGATCAATGGCTGGCTGCAGCCAAAAGAGGAAAGTAATACTCTGCCTCCACTTTTCTACTCTCCACTGTGTGCTTATGTGGGCCTCTCTCTTCTATTTGTGCTTCAACAGTCATCTACTCACTTAGCAAGCTAATTCAATTCACTAATCTAGTAGAAAATTACTCCTTTGCGCTCAAATGAAAAGAAAAAATCCAAGATGTTTAAGGGTGGTGGGCAAGGAAAAAGAGAACCACACTTCTCAGCAGCAGTGGGCCATTAGTTCAGCTTATCTGCCTTTGCAACCATGCCCCGATACTTTTCTGAGCATTGGAGGAGAAATGTCTGTTTTTCATGAAAACCTTCTTAAAAAAAATTCCTAAAGAGGACAGAAGGACTGTTCCCTACACACTCTGATGCAGAATTCCTTTTCCTAACAGTATGTGCAGAAACAGCACAGTGAAAAGACTCCACAGACTTGACAAACTCCTAGGAACTGAATATTTAAGAAAACAATAAATAGAGAATGAACAGTTTTGTGGCACCTTTCACAAGTCCAAGAAGAACAAGAAATTCATAGAGATCCTGAAAGTTAACAGAATGACTAATAATCTTTTAAACTTTTAAATGTACATTGTGCAGAGACCTGCTTTTGTGAAAAATCTCTGACTTTGCTTGTAACTGCCAAATTACTCTCAGTAAATGAAATATTAAGTAAAAGCTTGTATTTGGAATTTTTTTAGCAACCTTCTATAGGTATGCATAGTAAATGTATTGAAATTACATATACTCCCAAAAAACAAAACTAAAAGAAAGCCCAAAAGCGTTAATCAGCATTTCTCTCATTGTTCAGATGTTATTAAAGACAATAGTGGTGCAAAATTCTTTTTGTCCATTTCAAAAATTAATTTTTATAATCAAATCACACATATTAACCATTATCTCATTTTTGTCCAAAGTTGGCATACATAATAGCTTCTGGAGTCAGAGTTAAGATCTGCAAGGACAAGTAACAATGGCTTCACCAGCTATTTACTGCAAACACATACACTGGCAAAAATATTCTAGAAGTTACCTTAAATGACAATTTCCACTACTGTATTTCAATCCTGCAAAATAATCAAGCACAGTGAGTGTGTTCACTTGAAATTACTTAACAGTAGAGACATACCAAGACAGCTGGATTTCCCTGTATCTTGCACCCCATCAGCTACTGTTTACTAATTTTCCTTCTACAAATATGGAAATAATTAAAGCCTGAATGCATCTAACATTTAAAAATGAAAAGCCTAGCCTGCAAATAGGTCATCTAGGCTCTTCCTGTAGTTTTAGGAGCAATTCTGTAAGAGTATTTTCAGAAGACACTGCACCCCACTTTAAAATGTGGTATCAAATGAGGTACCATATCAAAATGAGGTATCTAGGCTTTCTTCAGGCAGTTAAGTGAGAGGAAGACCTAACATAGATAACATACCTGGCTGTTTGCTGACTATCAAAGGAATGAGAGATCCCACCTAGAGAAGATGGCTGTACAACCTCAAACAAGCACTCAACCAGGATTAAAAAAACCCCTTCTCTCTACTGTCTCCTGTGCATATAGAAAAAGATGAAGGAGTTCAGCATATCCCTTACATACCAGAATGGCTGTCATATTGAAGAAAAAAAAAAAAAAAAAAAAAAAAAAGAGTTGAAGTCACAGCACCCTTGACATAGGGCTCCCAATAACCTATTGAGAACCCAGTTTCACCCCAGAATTTTTGCAAACTACTTTTTAGAATAGGAAAGCACATAACAGTGGTTTAATGGTAACATCATAAAGCATTTTAGATAGGGGAAGTTCAGAAGTTATGTTCAGAAGTAATGATGTACACTACAAAGCCTTAAGTCAGCCAAGCACTGTTGTTCTTTCAGGTGAAGGAGAAAGCAAAACAGATCACTGAAATTATTTCACCCAAACAACAGAAGTCCACAGCAGATACCTAGGAAGAAAACCTCTCTCTTTCATGTTATCTTTTAATTATCAGCAATTCGACTGGCAGCCCAAAAGACAGTTCCGACCTGACATGGTGCTTTCCCCTGAAGAGAATAAGGATCAGGTTTTCCAAATAGTAGATGATGTCTAGACAGCTGAATCCTACATCTGCTAAGGCTTGACAGACAGCCAGGAAGCCAGTGCTGCCACCACCACCACAACCTAAAGCAAGGATGTGTTCGATGGTGCTGACAGTAGCGACAACTGCAGCTGTGACTCAGTTTTGAAACCCAAGTGTTCCCTTAATACTTAGTGTCATCTTCTAATGGTGCTGGCTTTAGACTATCTGGCCATCCACTATAACAGAACAGGCTTTTAAAATGCATTTTTCTCCTCCAGTCTCAAATATTGTTCTAATATTGTTCTGTATAAACCTAACTGAAATGCAGGAAAAACACACAGAAAAATACTTCAGAGGCTCCTCCCAGTTTTGTGACAGCCTACTCAGTGTCCACTGGAGACCCAATCAGACCACTATGCCCTATGCGGGCACCAATATCCAGTGGACCTTAACTATGACCAGAGTTACTGATGCTCATACAGCTAAATGCAGTGGAAACAGTCCTGGTGAAACCAGCGCCTAACTTCAAGCTCAAGAGGATAAATGAGTAACTTACTCTCACTACTATTTTCTGGGAACATTACATATTGTAATTGCCAAGTTACAGTGTAGTAACTTTTCTAGTTTATTAAATAGATTAAAAACAAAAACACAACAGCAGAAAGTAAATGGATAATCCAAGACCATAAGCACTATGGAAACTGGTATCTACCACTCCAATGTAAAATGATCAGTATTTTACATGACTTAAGACTTCTACAGAGTTCTAGTCCTTCTGTAGCAGAAGAAATTTTATCATTTGCTGAATTCATATTGCATGGATACTAATTTTCTATGAGATGAGTATTTTCCACCTTCAGAACTATCAAGTTCTTTACCAGAAGACTAAATTTGATTGTGTATTTAACAAATTAAGAGTTAAAAATGAGATATAATTTGTCCCCTATGTTTGAACAGCATATAAACATACCTATCACTGGGATCCCTAGACTTTAACAGATAACAATTAGCTAACTCTCTTAAAGTACAGTACTTTGTTTCTAAAGGCCTCCAACACTATTCCAGTACTGGCTATACGTTTTACTAGTTCATGGTGCCATGATCTGGGTTTTGAAGTTTGATGAATTACTTGCACCTAATCAGATACTTTGACCTTCCTTGTTAGTCCTTCCACCTTGTTAATAAATTAAGTTTATCAGTGGCAGAATTAATAGTATCTGGCTAGTGGTTATTTGCTTTAAGATATATCAGCTGTCATTTTGAGAAGATAAGGGATCAGCTAGCGTTTTGGATCGAGTGCCATGTAATAAAACAGTGGTGCTTTTTCCATAATAAATATCAGAGGTCCATATTTTAAAGTTTTCTGAAAAGTACATAGTGCTTTTACCTAGCAGTTGATGTAAACGTAAAGAATTCAGAGAATTTTTCACAGAAAAAAATGACTGCTTCATATTTAAAGAAGCAAAAGAAAACAAAAACAAGTACTGCAAAGAAAATATGACACATCAAGCTGGAGCTCCTTCTCTCTGCAAGGCTTCTAAGCTTTAAGCATAAACAAGAATTCAGAGACTTCACAGAAAACATGGTCAAAAGAGACAGTGATGCCTTGAAAAAAATCACACAAAGAAAAGGGACAGACTGACTGGTATCTCATGCGTTGATAAGCAAGAAATATGACCACATGCAGAGGTAGACAGCAATCACCTTTTTGCCAAGTCAGTAAGATACTGCACTGAGATCTCCCTTTCTTTCAACATTGTTCACTTACCTACATAACTATGAAAGACAATAAAAGCATTTACAGCATTAAAATTTGTTTAAAACATGACAGAGAAAAATTCACTTGCATGTACACCACCACCAGATAGAATACATTAAACCTAAAAGTCTGGGAAAAATTGTACTTAGGTTTTGACAGTCTATTGAAAAAATGGAGCAAACTATATTCAATGTTAATGCAAATATGGGGCAAACATTCATATGTTTAAAACATATACATTTCTGTACTCATAATAAAATCAATAGGTTTATACGAATGCATCGCAAGTCAGAGACAGATAAGTACATCTGCTGTACTGAGACCTAGAGGCTAGTTTATTTTTGAGCAAACTGACTAAAAAACATGCTCAGTGAAGAATATATTCTCAACTACAAAAAAACTTCTCACAAGCTGTAGAGTTTGATGTCTTTCATCTGTTTCTCTGAGTATCTAACCTTCCCAAAACTTCCTATTGCCCCCAAATTTCTCATCTCCATAACACGAAAGGGTTAGAAATAAACCTCCAATATTTGAGAGCTAATTTGCCTTCCAACAAACATGTAATGAAACACGCATGCCTCTTTCAGATGAGCCTCATAACACTGTATGTTAGTGGAATATTTTCCTTAAAATCTGAAGCAAGTTTCGTAGGGAGAGGCATCATATAGCCTAGTTGAAACAATTGGAAAAAGCACACGAGCTTGCAGGTTCAAAATCCTTTCAGCAGGCCTGCCAAAACAATCAGTGAAACAGATGATACTTAGTTTGCCATAATTAGGCTTCAGAGGTAACAATTAAGTGATCAGAACATTCACACCCACACCGACCAAAAAAGCATGCATTATATGAATTAATTTTCTCTGAACCTGCCTGTCAGCAAATCATTACTGAGCAGGAATGTGAACACTGCATTTTGGCAGGGATTAATACTAAACACAATTATCCAAGGTATTTGTCAATTATTTGGAAGTAAGCGTAAAGTTACCTTCAGTATAGTGCTAGATTAAATAAATTTGGTCAAAATGGTTTGTAGTGAAAAGAGAAGTACAGGAAGAAGTAGGAATATGGACTGGCTGGTAGTCTGGAACCAATCAAATCAAAAGTATTTTTGAGCATTACATGGTTAAGGACCTTAGGCCGTATCTGCACTTAGGAGTGACTGTGCGCAAGGAACCTTTCATGTAAGAGCTTGCAGTTATGGTGGACAAGCAATCTGAAATGAGCTATCAGAGCAATGGGAACTAAGGGAACTTGTGATTCTGTAAACAGAACAGTAATAGAAGAAACATGATTTTTATAATCAGAAGATGACAAACGCTAGAACACTATATACAAACCCAGGGTTCAATACTTACAGCTACATTGGAAAACTAAATAGAGTACAGAAAATCCATAGAAATTAAGGGCTGAAGAAATGCTTTATATAAAGAAAACCATGAAGAACAGAAGGTATCTCAAGGTTTTCTGATCAATACTGTAACTTGCATAACAAGATGCTAAAAGGTAAAGTGCATCACTGGTACAAGCCATACAAGACAAGTCATGAGAATCAGTATTTTTCACTGATTTTTGCCTGTAAGGGTCTGAAATAAGCCCATTATACTAAATGGTCTAATGATGTCTTCTATCCCTAAGTTTCATGATAAAATATAAAAAGCTACCCAAGCAACATGCTATATTCCAAGCTGTCTGGAAAGGGAGAACCACCAAGCCTAACCAATCTTATCAAATGTATTGAAGGTTTCACTACCACTCTGGATTTTTCATGGCAGGTACTCAGGTAAGAAAGGCATGTCTTATTATAAAGCCCTCTAGAGAGATATAAATACCACTATAAATATCATCATAAAGCCCCAATACAGAAAGAAGGCTAGTCATGCAGCCATAGGGCTAGTAACTTCGTGTTTCAGTTAAAGCTTGAATGATGGGGGATGAGGACCCGCCCCCCCAAATAAGTACTATTCAACATCATTTATAACAAGAAACAAAACAGTTTCTTGCCATGGATTGTTCCAGATGCCTTGTACATCAGGGCAAGAATTCTAGATTTACAATGCAAATATGTTTGGTAACTGGGATGCCAGTGAAGAGTTCACCTGAAATATCTAGCAGGTGCTATTTCTTTAAAAAGACATATTTTAAAAATAAATTTAAGTCTTCATATTGAAGGTCAGGGAAAACAAACATAAGAAGAACAGAAAGTAAGAGAACTACCAAGGCTAAGTATAAAGAAAGAAAACCAGATGCGTTTTCCCCCCAAATGGACGTGGTTGAAAGAAGTACTCCATGCCAGAAGATGACCAGCAGAGCTGCTAGAATTTGTCTTGATAACTACTCAAAGTTTGCAATTTAAGTTTAAAAACTGGCAGACTCATCTGTCCTGACAATATATGCCTAAGTCTTCTCAGTTCAGTTAATACATACTCTCTTTTACATCCCATGACTATGAAGAACAGGACTCTCTGTTGTTACAGAATCATTTCCTGATGCAGGGATTATATGCATGTGTGACACTACAGGAGAGAGAGAAGTTAGAAGAAAGTTTATTAATTAAAGCCCTTTAATTTTAAGATAAATTTTGTGTTCTGATATCTACATGTGAAAAGGGCATCAGAAAATGTAAGGCAAATCGTGATTTTTTTTTTTTTTTTCCATAAAACACCCAGTTATCTGCGATTCCATACAAAACCGCATTTCCTAGAAACATAAGGTCTGTATTGTAAGTTGCTATAGTTTTGTAAGGTTAAAGTTGTAAAGTTGCTATATTTTACTAAGGTAGTAGTAACAGTTTTGAATGGACTGAGAAGTGATAAGAAACACTGCAAAAGTGCCAGAAAAATAAATCAAAATTGTGCATAATATTGACCTACCAAGAAATTACTTTTTCACACTCCTTAACAAATACAGCATTTCAATGATATCTCAATACTGTCCTCTCTTTCCCACTTTGCAAATTATATTTTCCGCCTCCAGTACCTTTCTCTGGTTTTACTTCAAGCCGCCTACAGAATACAGCACAATTTCAGCAGGAAAGCAGACAGACATGGGGATAAACTACCAATTAGGTCATGAAAAAACAAGCACTGTAAAACAGCTATTGCTAATCCGCAGGAGATACATTTACTCAGTTAGATAGATGGAACTGTTATTATGAACTCGCATTCCACGGATGGTCTCTAAAATTAAGAAGAATGGGGACAAACAAAATGCACATTTGGTGATTTACAACCTTTCTATGCTAATTGTGAAGTGACAACACAGAACAATATAACAAAATAAGCAAATTTAACAGACACTTTGCATGCAAGCTTCAGGAAAAAATTACGTAATTTTTTTTTGCCTACAGTAACATAGATGTATCTCTTGTTCTTCTCCTGGGAGTCTATCTGCTTTTAAAAATAAGTAACTGACAGCTCAAGTGCTGCCCAGCAATAGCACTGGTATGGCTGACCAAATTACTTCCATGCCAAATTTCAAACTCTGCTAATTACAGGTGGTGACTCTCAATCATCCCTCTTGCTCCCTGCCAGCAAGCCTACCAAGGGAGGGCAGGATGCCAGCCAGCGAGTCTGGTAAAGACTGGCCGCTGCTCACGCGAGTGCCCTCATGTCAGCTGGCAGACACGGGGGTCCCACGCCATGTCGCACCCAGTAACATGACAGGGGACAGGGTGGTGCTTCTCTGAGAGGTCAGGGGTGACCTGGAGGGGGACGTGTGCCACACCTGCACCTCTCACATGTGGGCACTGCTACTGGAGGTAACACAAAAAAGTGACTCTCACGTGACACCTGGTGGAGGAGAAATACCGGAAAGTTCACATGTGGTCTTTCAGTGAAACACAGGAACAGGCACACTACAATTTTAATGACTTTATACTTTCACTTGCACTTCTGTTTTCAAAAACTAGTCCTTTTAAAACAGTAGTTCACAGATTTCAATGAAGAGTGTATGCCAGCAATTTTGAACAATGGCAGTATGTTACTATCTGACAATTTAACAAGTTCTTAATAACCTGAGTCAAGACCCTTTTCCAGGGCCCATTTTGTGGCAGGTATCTCAAATATAACGGCAAGCCTCCCTAACAAGCATTAAATGCACTATTTTCGCTAGATTTGGCTTGGGTCCACAACGCTCACTGAGGTGCTGAATGTTATCCATTTTCTCAAAATAGATTCACTTACAGATAAGTTGGGAATTATCACTGAAACTGGATCTCTTTGCTGATTTTAAAAAATTAAGCTATTTATAAATATAAATAAAGCAGCTGTATTTTAAATGCCTAAAGGCTTATGCATACTCAAAGCTAGTAAATTATTATAGGGCATTCAATGCACTTGTCAGAATAAAGGAACTTAAAAGCATGCACTTAAGTACAGTAAATAAAGCAAGCACACGTCCAAACACAGACAAAAAAAAAACTTTTAAAATTGTCTTCAGAAGAGGGTAGGTTTAATCATTGTCAAAAGTAAACAACTGAAAGAAGAAAAGTCACCTATAATTATTCTGAATACTTTATTAAGGGAAATGCTAGTTACCCTCTCATAAAAGACCAGAAAAGGAAAAGACTTTAAGGCATTTATTTCAACAATAGCATGAATCCATCTCCGAAGTCTGCATCCATGCTTTTGGAAATTCAAATTATGTTCAATTTCTAACACAAAAATCAACTCAATATGTACAGAAGAATTATTAAACATTATTTTTAAAAAATATTTATGAAGAGAATACAAGAATGCTCAAAATGCAAGAGGTCACTTCAAAAATGTATGCTTCAAGATCTATACATTTGAGATTTACCCCTCCTGTAAAGCAACATTTCTAGCAAAGTATGCTTTTGTTGCTATGATATAACTATCACCTGTGTTTTATGCTTATGTAGCAACAAACCAGCAGCCTCCTGCAAAATTAGTCACAAAATTAAAAGCTTATTTAAATTTAGCAGCAGTACAGAAATATATAAAGCATGTATTTTATAAAATTATGAAAATGTTTGTTCATATACATCCTGTGCAGTACGTATATCATATTACATCTTTGTTTATTAAGACAGCAGTAAAAACTCACTCTGAAGTGTTTCAAGTTCAGCCTTAGCCAGGGCATCTTCTTTCGCCTTCATTTTTGTTTCTTTATATTCTACATATAATTGTCTGGCATCCTTTAAGAAAATGTTGCAATGGCATTAGCATCCTTATACAAACAAGTTATTGCAATGGCTCTATTTTAAGTTCTCAATTAACCTTGCAAAAAAAATTAAGATACACTTGTTTCCTTGAGTTACAGCAATTTTCAGCACAAAAAGTATTTGTTTAGAATGTAGAATTTTTGTGTAATAAAGGTTCAAATGTAATAGCATTGATATTACAGACTGTGATGATCATTGACAACCTGAAAAGCAAAATGGTTAGAAAAACATTTCTGATCGCTACCTACAGCTTTGTAAGAGGCCATATACCCACTTTGCTCGTATCAGCAATCTAGAAGTTCAAGGAAGAAAGAAAAGTTTTTAATTAGATTAGTGTGTGCAGGGAAAAACAAAGGCAATTGCTAGGCAGTAGTTGTCTTAGTGTAAACTCATTACAACACTAACTTCAAGTTCCAAAATCCAACTTGCTGCCTGCCCCCCCCCCCCCTTTTTTTAAATCAACTTCTACATTGCTATTAAAGCTTTGAAAATATATATTAAGTTTTTTCTCCAAGGATTAGACTAGATTCTAATCTGAAATCTATTTGTCAAATTTACACATAAAACTAGAAGTCCTGCCACAATTCTCACAATAAGGTACACATTTCCAAAATCTGATGAATTAGTAATTATAGATTTGCATTGAAAGCTTTCCAATATGAACAACCAGACTGCTGAAGTAAGAGGTATGGAGAGTTTTCTTACTCTCACTTACCAGTTTAAGAGATTTCTATACTCATTCAAAAACAATAAATCTATAATAGAAATGCTGAAATAGACAAATTATTATTTTTCATTTCCAAGCATGAAGAACATCTACTGTACTAAATTGATATTAATTATAGTATTACATAAACCTAATTTTAGTTCTTTACAGTCAAAAACATTTTTATTCTTGTTATTACATTAACAGTCCCACTTTTTACATATAAAGTGTAATTTAAATTTTAATGTACAATGTACTGTAAAACATCAGTAAATATTTTTATAATTTCAATTATAATCCCATAAAAGTTGAACAAAATCTGGTCTCATTAAAAATGAAATATGACATCTTGATAAATTTTGCAAATAAAAACTGAGTTAAGCAGTCATTGTTGCTGCCTCTAATGGTAGAAGTCATCCAAAAACATTGCTTCCTGCAAAGATACTACGACACAACAGTTGTTATTTGCGTTATACTGGCATCCACCCCTTCAAAGATACTTGAGGGAGGTGGGAAAACATAGGACAGAATGATGATCCAGCTCTGAGCATAACTTCTTAATGTTTTGGAGACATCTCACTGATACAAGTCAGCATGCCTGAAGAACAACTCTGAAAAATTCCCGCAAAAGTTCAGTAAGGTTTCATCTCCTTCCAAAATACCTCTTCTTACTCCTTATTTGTCTCTACATTTGGGTATGGAAAATGGGAAGTTATGTTCCTCTGCCAGGTTTATGTAGAACACTGCGCACAGAAGAAATTTTAAAGAGTTTACATAACTTTTTGCTGCTGGAATGTAACAGATGAGAGCATCTCACATGCTTAAAGTTTTGGTTTTGGGGGCGGGGAAGGTGGCATTTGGTGATTTTAGTAGAATTGGGGCTAAAAAAACATGTGTAGGTAGAGGAGAAGTACCATTAACAGCAGATACAAAGACTTTGAGGAAACATTCAGTTTCTGTGTTAGAACATTGAATTACAAAATTAGGATCAACACTGGTTCTCTTTTCAGTTTACCCAAAATATGAATTCCCTATCACATACAGAAACTGTCCTTGTACTCTCCAGATCTGGACTATTTGCTTCATTAAGAAACAGAAACAGCCATAAGTGTAATGCTTAACTTCTGCAGTAAGTTTGAGACATTTGGGTTGTGTAGCATACACAGGACTCAGACATACTGATATCCAAAAAATGCTTTTGTTTAAGGCTATGATTTCAAAATGGCTACAATTAACCAGCATTTAAATTTAACCCATTTGACACTGAAAGCCAATATTTGATGCTAAATTCTGGTGTAAAATCCATTATTGCTTGTGGGATCTCCAGACAGCAGACACTAGGGGGTAACTGTCAATCTCTCCAGCACGTCAATCACAGAACAATTGGAAATGTGGCTCAGATGAAAATGAGACACAATAGCTGAACAACAAAGAAAACTAGTCAGAAGCACGTAAATGAAATTTAGTAGTATTGTTGCTTTATAGATATAAAATGGATTATCACTGCAAATGGAGTAATATGCAGGTAACAAAGGCAACATTACTCTTTTATCTTATTAATCACAGTTTATTATGGCTGATACCATAATCACAAAAAAAGGGGAGACTGCACATTTTAAAGCGCACACAAAAATGTATACATATGAGGTAAAGCAAAGAAAAAAAACAACCAAAGAATTTAATCAAAATGGATTTTGAAGATTTGTGGGAGGGATTTGATTTTCAAAAGCATAAGAAAAGGCTCTACAGGTTGCAAAGAGAAATTAAAAGACATACCTGAGTAAAGATTTTAGCCACATACACAAACTATATGGGTATTAGACCTTATAAGTCAAAATGAAAAAACACTGGAAGAGAGTTTAAAATAGAAGACGACTCCTGCCTTAACATAAATAAGCACATTTCAATTTACTCTTCATTAGTTTTCGGTAGTATCAGCCTAAACAGGACTATGCATTTTCAAGCATATTCAGTTTTGGTAGTAGGAGTATATCAAAACAGATTTATGTTCAGATTTTTTACTTTTCCAAAGCGATAAATTTAAGCAGTCATTTTGCTTCAATACAAACATTTTAGGGCCCTGAAAACACTGGCAATATAGACACAGCCTCTTCCAATCTACTGCTCCTTCCCCAAGATTCAGTAATGATTTTTCTTTTAGAGGATCTTTCCCCAAACAACTGAAAATATGTGCAACATCAAAATTTCATACCTGATGTATACTTCACCTTCAATAGGTAATAAACATAAGGAAAACAACATTTTTGTCCTTCAGGGAGTAGAAAGGCACAGAGGAAAGACACACAAATACACAGCTTGGAACTGTTCTAAGTAAAAGCTCCAGCTTACCTAATCAGAAATACTTTGTTCTCATTTGCAGGAGTTTGAGAGGTTTTCAAAAAAGAACATGAACACAAATATATTACTTTTCTTCACCATTAAAGCAGCAACATGCTTGTAGTTAAGCAAAAAGAATAATGAAGAGGGCTAATATATACTCATTTATTATATATGATTTTAAATATACACTTTCCAAAAAGGAACAGAATGAAGTGTATTAGAAATGCAAAATCCTGCTATTAGTATTTCTAAATTATATTTCAACTGCCACGTATAGGATATTCCTGTGATTACCCTCATATTTAACCAAAAATTTCAAAGTGTTGCAGAAAAAAAAAAAAAAAAAAAAATCAACAAACACTTATTTAACATAATTTCAATATTTTAACCACAAATAAGAACCATGAATACTGAAAAATTCTTGTATTTCAGTTCCTCGTTATATCAGTATTGTCTCGTGTCAATAAATTTGAGGTTGCCAAGTCAAAGCTGAAGTTGAGTTATGCAGAAGTACAGAAAGTCCTGATCCTGGACTTTTAAGGGTTTTTTTTTTTTTCTTTGTTTGTTTGGGGGTCTGGGATATTGGTTGGGGGTTGGGGGGGGTGTTTTTTTATTTTGTTTGCTATTTTTAAATCAACGGATACAGTATTTATTCAAATTGTACTAATTCTGTAACTAAAAATTTCAGTTTTGAGTAAGACTCAGTCACCCCGGCCTCTCCTTGACTTTTGGGGAGGGTGGTAAGGTTTTGCATGTTTGTTTGCTTTGTGGGTTTTTTTTTTTCCCCTCCAGTTAATCTTCCTGGCTTTCTGGTCTACCTTAGAAAGACTAGAGATTAGGAGAAATCAGGCAATAATTGGAAACAACTTGTTATATTAGCCATATGTGAATTTTCATTCCAGATTTTGTGACATAATCAGCTTCACATTTTAGTGACCTGGGTGAGGGACTGATACAAACAAAATGCATCCCCCTCAGAATTTACAGTTAACTGGAAACTTTCCTACAAGCATACTTAAGATCAGTATACTGAAATAATTTTCTTTGCATTAATTCTTATTAAATCAATCTACAGACTTAAAGAGAAATTTTTGTATGAAGGTCCTGAACTAATTTTTTGTCTTTTTGACTACAGTGTTTTTGTACCATTTGTACAAAAAAAAAAAGAGAGAAAAAGAAGTCAAATTAAAATTACTGCAACATCTGACCTTCAATTTGCTATTTCTACTCAACAAAAATGCCAGCCATTATACCACAGCAAAAACACTCTTTTGATGGGTTTAAAAACTAGTAATATGGTAAGACATAATGTTAAAAAAAAAGTTAAACATTATGACTGATAATTCTCTTTGGCATTTTTACATGTTTACTCAAGGGCAAACTGATAAATAAATAGGAATTGCATTACTTCCTCCTTTATAAACAGATAATCACGCTTTGACCTTGGAATAATACCAAGTGTGGCCAGGCTCTTCAGCTGTGTATAGCCTGTGGGCAGTTGAAGCATAGCTCCCAAGCCTCGGAGGCACCAGGTGACTGACCAGCAGCAGGCTGTGCTACTGCAGTATCTGCTGGGTATTCCACATCCACAGTGGTGAAACAAAGGCAGACAGAAGGGAGAACTGAGGCCAATGCTGCAAGGCCTCCCCGGGACCCATTCACACCCCATAAGACCTCATACCACAACAGAACAGTATCATTAATTGAGAGCCAGTATCGCCTCCTACACATGAGCTACTCTTGGAGCTACACTCCTCTAACGTGTGTGCTGGGATATGCAGGCATACAGTAAGTGATTTGAAGGAGCTGAACAAAATTGGCTGCCACAGAACAGCAGGCAATTAAAGGCAAATTTCTTCCATGTCTTACGTTTACTTAAAACTTTTACTATGCAGCAAAGCCCATTTTGTCTCCAGAGCCTCAGATGGTACCCTGTTAGACACAAATTATTTTTGCTCACTTGTATACACCCAGAATACTTGTTTTACCGTCCACTCTCCTCTGACCTGCTTCTAAGCTTCTAATTGACCTCAGGGTCAAGAGCTTCATCCCTACTTTGGTTCTCCCAACAGCTGCAAAATAGCAAGAAACAGAGCAAATGGGTAATCACTCGTGCCACACATCCTGCAATTGCTCGCTCCCCACAACTTATATCAACATCGGTGCTGTACAGTAAGTCAGAACACGTCAAAACCCTGTAAAGCTGGGAATTAAGGAGATATTTAACCTTACTGACCTGAATAAATCCCTTAAAAAAAAAAAGCCAAACTCTTTTTAAGGCATATGTTATTAAATGCAATAAATTTTATTTTAATCTCACATGATGATTTTATATAAAGTCATATGTGAAGACAAAAATAACCCACATAAATGTTTGCTGACCTAATCAAATCTTGCTTAAAAGCTAACTTTGCCAAAGGAGATGCCCTGCTGGCAAAGCCTCTTCAGTTTAATGACACATTGCCAATCCGTTTACGGCCAAAGCTGAACCATCTCTAAACAGGTGTTGAAATGTAATCATGGATTAAAAGAAAACCTGAGGAAAAAATGCCAAGAAATTAAACACCTCTGGGTCACTAGTTTGAATCTATTCCAGGCTACTAAATCAGCTACAGTAATTACCATCTGGTAGTCTACATAAAAATAAATTACTGGCCTTTTTGTTTTAATTCACTTCGTGCTACACAAAGGTCTTTATAAAGAAAAGTTTCAATTGTAATTGAAAGCTTTGTTGATAATCTCACTAGGTTATATCCAGTGCAACGACGTATTGAGCTTGAACTGCCTTCTCATTACTGGCAAGCCACCAGAAGTTCTTCCAACAGTTCACTGCTGGGGTGTATGCACTACACCTACACTACTATAGATACAAGATAATAGGAAACTTTATTTTCTTAACAAGAATCCATTTCTGTCTGAAACAAACAAAAATGCTTTCTGCTTCATTACCCTCAGGACAACAGCAGGCTTATAATTTAACTAATAAAATTTCCTAGCACTGACTGGCATTAATGAAATTGGTGTAAAAATAAAGACATTCATTGCTAAGCTTCACCACATCAAGGTGGAAGAAAAGTAGTTGATGGGAATACTAACGAACACTCCTATCTTCAGTTTTCTGAAGGAAATATTTTGTGAAGAATAATTAACATATTTAAGACAGACCACTTTTCTGAAGTTATATGTCTGCACATCCAAAGAAAAAACTCTAGTCAGCTGCTTTGGGAATAAACTGCAATTTACATATGACTGTTCTCCCACAAAAGAAAAGTACACTTAACGCAACTGTCTATTCTGTATTACATTCACCATTTCAACTGAAATTCTTGCACACTATATTTAGCTGGTTTATTTCTTTGTAAGAACAATTTTCAGTTCCAATAAGCGTTTTAATGGAGTTTTGTTTCCTTTTTTTCCCCCTTTTTCTTTTATTTATTTTTTTAAATATATAGCCTTCTTCCAGGTCATTCTCATGAAAGAGTAAACTATAAATGACCTTAGAAAGAATTTGCATTTTTTTTCTTGAGCCTACATTATAAGAATTAAGCTTGGTAATAGTCAATGTAATTTACATTCCACTTAATGTTTCTTTCACACCACAGATATTTGATTTATGATACATTTTATTTATTCTTTTCCTTTCACTTCTTCAAACAAGTGTAAAGATGCTGTTTTCACCCCCAAATTTAACTAAACTAAATGCATGGATATAAGGACCTATGTAGTCTCTCTCAAAATACAATTGTCAACAGTTTAAAAAAAAATAATCATTTTTTAGTTTCTCTCATCCTTCTCTCACCCATTTTTCTTCCAGTTTCTTGACATAAAATGCAGACTACAATAAAATGGCATAGGCCATCACAAGGGCATGCAAACAAAGCATTCTTCTTCAGTAAAGGCCCACCTTAATTATTTTAAGTGCCTCCTTCTGAAATCTGACATTTTGAAGGAGGAGGGGAAGTAGGAGAAAGACACTCAATTGGATAAATGAGAGCCAGGCATGGGCAGAAGCTCAGCAACCAAATCCTCAGACAGAGCTGTTGTAAGTGGAATATTCACATTAACTAATGGGAGGAGAGATGGATGCTAGGTCTTTCCTTTTAGGAATCAATACAAGAACTGGCAAAAAGTTTAAATTGAACTCTCCTTGTGGTTTTTGTTTTGTTGGGATTTTTTGTTGTTGTTGGTGGTTTGTTTTTGTGTTTGTTGTTTCTTGTTTTGTTTGTTTTTTTAATAAAGTTTCCTTTGAGGAAGAACTTGTGTACACAGGCATGTGGTTTTGTTTCCTTAATTTGAGGAAGCAGTTCAGCTATTTCACTGACAGGGCTTTGAAAAACTCAGTGGCAGAAGCAACGTTTAATTAAAAGTATTGCTAACTCTTACCCTTTTCTGTCGCAAATGGGGTTCATTTAAATATGGATGCATTTTTAGAAGTTAATCTACAATTGCATTAGTTGCAGATGAATGACAGCCAACTTTGAAAATAATTTGTTGGCTCTTAAATGACTGAAGAAATCATTTAGATTAACTCAATAAACAACTAAAATCTGTAGCAGCCATCCTTATGTCAACCACTGTAACACCTTGTTAATTAATTTGCATGTGTAACTAGTACAAATAACACTACTCTGTATCTGTAGGAGTCTTATCTTCTAGATAAGCTGCCCTAGTGATTCTGCTTATACTAGAAGCCTGAAATACTCTGAAATCTCAAGCCTATGTTAGTGTATTACTGAAGAGAAAAGCACTTATATTCAAAACAGGATCTCTGTACCAGGGTATAATCATATAAGTAAAGCTACTTTTTTTGCCATATGTTGATAATTGCAATTAAGGCAGAACTTGCTAAAACTTTAAATATAACTCAAAAAGAGGCCAGAGGTGTCTCTGTCCAGCTAGCTACAATATACAAGGTACCTTTTGCACTATCATTTCAGAAAACATCTCCAACGTGAGGTCACTGCTGCTCTTATGCTCTTCAGAAGAGGTAATAATACTTCTTTAAGTATTGTTAAATAATAAGCTACAGTAATTTATTTCAGTATACCTGAAATCATGAATATTCCTAATAGTGAAGATTACTTATATTTTATTGCATTTTAACTTACATAATTGGTAAGTCATCTTAAACAACAACAAAACAAACCCTGGAGTTAAGCAGTAGTGTAATTTAAGTACGGGGCAATTTACTCTAGAACCTCATCTCTTCGCTCCTCCTTGTTCCAAAGCCTTCCTGCTCTGAATTCCTCTACATCATGCTTCCCCTGCCACCAAATCCCCACTTGCTGGTCTCCAACTTTCCACTAGTTATTGGATAGCTTTTTTTCCCACTACCATTAATTTAATGGATTTAAAATCCACCACAAGAGGTATTGGTTATGTGTCTACAAAGCACAAAACATCACTTCTGTTGTATTCATCTTTTCTGCCTATTCTGGCAGACATAGGAGCTGCTTTTTCAACAGCAAATCTGAAACCTGTTATACTGACTTCTTAACAGACTATCTTAGAATCACAAAAATGAGAAAATGACAGCTTAGAAAGATTTTTCATTAATCTTACTATATTCTGTAATATTTTGAATATTTTGCAATTAAGGCAAAAAGGAAAGTACTATAATTATTAAGAAAGCTTCAAAAATGCAGCAACAGCAATTGCTGAACTTAATTCTTTTCCATCTGACTCACCTCAGTGAGGGATGAACATCAAAGCTTAATTTGGATACAACAGTTGACTTAATTAGCATCATCATTTTTGCTTTAAAAACTTGCAGAAAGAGAGGTTTCTTTATTAAAATAGCCACACAGTTCTGATGAAACTTTTAAAAGAGGAAGAGATATTAACTTTTGCATCTCTTTGTAGGAAAAGTTAAAGGCTATAAAAACAGATGCCGAAAGACCAGACTTTATTGCATTTATAACTTTTACAAGCTTTTTGCTAACAGCAAATTATATGCTTTTTCCCACTTGAACACAGACAGAAATTGAACATTGATGCCATTTATACTATCTACACTTCAGAATTAATACTCAATATTTTGGTAGACCAAAGTAAAATCCACCTTGCATTCCCTGATCCATATTCATTAGCAGTGACAAGGGTATTAAAAACAAATGGGTGTATTCAAAGGAAATTAAAAGAAAGACCATGTGATATTAAAAAAGTTATTCTGGTAACTCATCTGACAATACTTACACTGGCTGAATATCAGCTAAATTTTACGGTTTATAGTATTGGATTAAAAAACCCACAACTGTGGGCAAGTCTGCCACATTTATGTTTATCAGTTACAAACATACCTTTTTTACTTTACCTTAGTCATTTCAGGTATCAATTTATATCATTATCCAGTGACTAAAAAAAAGCTTACCTAATCAGAAAAAGTAATTTCACTGTTCCCCCAAATGTAAATGACATTAATATTTGCTATGAAAACATAGATTTGCCTATTTGAGATAAAAATACTTTTGTTAACAGATCGCTTGAAAGACATTGCTATTCCTGATTAGATGGATATATATCACCCCTCTCCCATCATTTATACTTGTAGTTTTGCCTAACAGGAAGTGGTGCTGAATTACTTAGCACATTAAGATTAATATCCATCTAAAATATATTCGTATTTTGATGAACTTATGATATTAAATTTGTCTCCAAAGAGTAATTTTTTATATATATATACACACACACACACAGAGTGTGTGCTTGAGCCAAAAAATTCCTAAGAACAAGTGCTATACATCCGATTATGCATAACAACATGATCAAGAAAAATAAAGTGATATAACTTATAACTTAAAATCATTACTATTACCTGGAATAGCCGAGGTAAAGCTTTCACAGTGAGACAGAACCATATTCCCAACTTGCATGGAAGTAAGTCATGCCACTGTGGTTTGTCCAGTACTCTGCAGTCAAATAAAATTGTAAGTTTTTCATTACTGCCACATAAAGTCAGAACTTTCCCGTTATCCTTTAAGATGATTAGCACTTGTCAACTCCTATAAAAATGTGTAACTACATAATATTAAAGACAGATTTTGGATATTTAATTCAACATATCTAACAGCTAACTTCTAATAATTGCTGTATTTTAATCTCTTAAAAGGGGCTCTTCTTCAAGAAAATAAATTTCTAAGCCACATAATCACTTCAATTTAAAAAAACCCAACCCCAAAAAACCTCTCAAGCCTCAACCAAGTGTTCACAAGTGCTGACAACCAGATATGAAGACTGTAGCATAAACAAAACAATACATAAAAATTAATGTCATTTGCAGTTCACTGGAGCATTACTCACTGATGTCATCAGGAAAGACGACAGGCAGAATGGTCTCTGATCTCCATCCTGCATTGATCCAGTTCATGCCCCTGCTGTGTGAACTATTTAAACCCTTTATTTCTTTCTATGAATCAATAGAAGAAATGGTGGTATCTTTTGGAGTATCCTGAAAGTCACTATTTCCCTATGTGTTTCTTAACAAACAATGGTGTTAGAAGCCTTTACCAACACACTTGTTCTTAAGTTAATCAGATAAAAAGCATTAAATCAGACAAGCATTAAAACCCCATTAAAACTCCCTGCTTGGTATGGTAATAAACTAAAGCTTAAATAAACTGAAATTTGTTAATTGTAATCAAAGGCAAAAATCTTCAAAGATGGAAAAAGTTGTAAAATCTTCTAAAATCAACTTGCAGAAATAGTACCCTTCTATAAGCCAGATACCATTAATTCAGCCTTAATCTTTCAATTATTGTTGATCTGCTGAATGAACACCACGCATTTATTTACAAATGAAAACCTGAAAATACATCTACACAGACACACTTGATATCAGCAATGGCTGTTACTACAAATACAGTTATTTTTCTCATAAAATATTTCAGAGAGGCAAGGAGAGTATGATAAACTAAACCACTAGCTGATACAATGTTTTAAAATGCAGAAAACAAGAGAGTTCCTTCCCACCTTTCATTTTTGTCTAGAGCAGCAAGTTTGGCTTCATCTGTACTCCTGCCGCCTGTTTTTTTCTTCTTCTCCCTCTTTTTTCTGCTAAGCAGTTCATCCTTGATGTAGAAAGAACTACGGTTACAGGTTATCATTAACATGTAAACCACAAATGTTACTGGGACTCTTCTGTGAAGGGTAAACAGTAGAGTAGCATTTATGCAAATGTATCTAGGGGTCCTACATGATTAAGTAAAATGATCTATCTTAACAATAACTGTTGCCATGGTATCCAGTCTTTAAACACACATGAAGTCCAGTTCTGTCACTCATGTGTATCTCCATAGCAATCAAAGTTTTCTAAGAGGAGAAAGCATTCAACTTGCCTCCTTTCTCATTCATCAACTTCAATAATGCAGTGGAAAATAAAAAAAGTAAATAGATGCTAATGTATGAATATTTTTCAAATTGTGCTTAGGTTTTTTCCTAGTCTACTAAGTGCAACAAATTTTTATATGACAAAAAATAAAAAAAAAAAACCAAAACATGGTTTATGCTGCTTACCAACGCCTATCCTGTTAACAAAAACCAAACCAAAAAAAGCATTTAGCTAAGAACAAAGGCAAAGCCAGTATGACTTTTAAATGAATAAAACCTGATTATTTTTAAACAACATTTAGGAAAACCATAGACATAACTACAGTAGCATATGATTCTGCACTAATAGATGATAGAAGAGTTTTTACTCCTCTTCTTCCTTCCAGTTAAAAACCAAAGAACCATCTCCTGCTATTTATTACCAATTCTAGAAAAATTAGGTTTTAGATTACTATTTCTGATATGTTGAATATCTCACTCTATAATTATCACCATTTTAAATACAATCCTTTTAAAATATGAAAAATCCAAATTCAAAACAGGGGAACTGGTACAGATCCTTATAATATGCAAATTTCTGCAGGAAATTCAATACTAATAATTGAAGCAAGTTTGATTTATTACCAATACTTACCAGCTGTTTTTCCAGGTAGATTGACCAAACCACAGCATAATGACCCACTGTGAGTATAATGAACAAGAGTAATGCCAGCTCAGCATTGCTCATTTTTCTCACCCGCCTGTAGTAGAATACAGGCTGTCGCCAATCTGGTAGTCCATTGATCAGAATATCATCATACCTACAGTAGCAAATATAACAGGCTTTCATGGACAGCTAAAAATGAAATAAGCCAAACCATCCAATTATAAAACAAAACAAATTATAATCCACAGACTGCTTGAATAATAAACACACAAAAGATCATTTAGTAATTTTTTTTTTTTTAATAGAGCAATGCCTTGTTTTGTCAGCTGCTAGGCTTGCATCTGGAAACAAACAGAATCCAGAACCAAACGCTTGGGAAATGTATCTAGTCTTTTGCAAGAGAGGGGGGGAAAAAAAAAAAAAAAAAAGAAATTTGATTCCCCCCCCACCCCCCCCTCCCCCCCCCCCCCCCCCCCCGCCCCACTTCATTCACTGCTGAAATAACAGACTTCTAGAAACGTATATGTGTTCTACCTGCCTAGTAATCAGTGGGCAGGTCTCCATGATAGAAGTAAATAACAAACAACAAACTACTAAATAAGTAGCAAAGAACAAAAGTCTCAAACAATAGAAATCTTTTTTTCTTTACAAATTAAAAGCACAAGTGTTGGGGGAGGGGAGAGGTATTTTTGCTTTTGTTTTGTCCTTTAGTAGCACAATATCCATTAGGTAAAAACGCTGCCAGACTTAAATTCATACCTGACACAGAATGGATGTTAAGTTAAAGGCTTGATTTTGATGTTAGAAAACCAAATTCACCACAGCTAGACAATTCTGATTTTCTATTTGAAAAGCTGTCTCCAAAATCAATCTGTTTTAAAACTGTTTAATTTTTACTAACACTACTAACTATACAGAAACAATTTAATGACAATTTGACAGTTTTTCTTCACACAAATGTCTTGAAATTTCTTAGTATGTCTGGGTTCTTTTATTTACAGTATGTTATCATCAACTTCAAAATAAACAAACCACAAACGTGCAAAACAGATTTTTCTATTTGTTAACTTTTCAGAGTAAAGTTTCAAACAAAAATCTCTACAGTAAACTCAAAAACCTGTATGTTCAAGATGCACAACCTGTTAATCTTAAATTGAACACAACTCATTACACATTCTAATCACACCATTTCCAGAATTAAATCTGCACTGAAAGGCCTAATTTGGTGCAACACATTGACCAAAATATTTTAATTAAAAATATTCTGAGTTAGTCGCAGGCCTAATTACAGGAATAGAAATAGGGCCTATATTGTCATGCAGGTCAGTAGAACTCAGTAGTAGGTTTTTCTCAAGTAAATTGACCAATCCAGGAATAATAGCGCAGCTGCTAAACTGCCAGTCTTGACATGTAAATCAATTTAAATGCAACAACTGCACTAGCTACTTTGATAGTTATTAAATTGATACCTTGGAGATGTACTAAAAAAAATTTCCACAAGCAAATTCATTTTTTTTTTAAGCAGAAAGAGGCAATGTTTTTCAATTAAAAAAAAATATACTTTAATTCAGCACATCTAGAAAAGCTGACTTCTGATAAAACATTTGTTCAAGTTGGCACTATTACTTCCGTACAAAAGATTTAACACTTCAGGATTCTGCAGTGTTCTCAATGCTACCAGAAGTAAAATTCATATTACAAGATTCTATCTTCCATGACAATTATGAGAATACTAAGATTAATATCCATTATTGTAAAATTTGAAGTAATAACTTTTTCCCTTTCCCAGTAAGTCAGAACAAATTAACTACTAATGCCTTAACACAAACTCTGTTCAGAAAAATTGCTTAAGGTGTTACTTCAAAATAAAAACTTCTACTTTTTGTTTAAGAAATAAGTAGAAGTTTTAGCATTTAAAAAATAATGCATCTGCTAAACATTTTATTGTTAGAATACAAGAAAATATTTTAGAAACAAAATAATTTAAAAGAAAATTTGATAACATTTCACAAAAGGTGCTCTTCCTTTGAAAGCCTCAGAGACATATGTGTAGAATCAAGAAAGAATTTTTTTTAATACTACTATAAATTTATTAAGCATTTGACTTTCTTACACACTAAGGCTTCTTAATTGATTTATTTAAAATGTGGCTCCTGATTAAATAAGGTCCATATATGCTAATGGTAATAACATAGTAATATGTAAAACAAGATTGCAAACTAACATTTGGCAACCGTGTTCTATTATACATTATCTGTTAAGAAAAAATAAATTAAGACAGCAGAGTCTCTTGCATTAAACACTTTAAACAGCACTCTGTATTTACTAGGCTATGTCCGCTGTTCTGAACAACAGTCTCCAAGGATTAAGTCTCAGAATCAATGCTCTATTGATTTTACTATCAATGAGCATTATGACTCACACGACTGGCCATTTTAAGGGAAGATAGCTTCTATTATAACCCACTTTTTAGAATATATACTGTTAAAAGATAGATCACTGCTTTCAATAGTAATTAAGCTCTGTATTTGAAAAATAAAGATATCAATGTTTTTTAGGTTTTCAACTGGAAAATGATCCTACTGAAACTCAGAAGCTTCCCATAATTTTTAAATCTTAATTCCCAAATTTAGGATGTGGTTTAATTAAAAGCAAATTTCTCATTAAAGAATTTCTTTATAGAAACCTGTATTAACTATGAAAGACAGTTCATCCATGTGCATCAAGAACTACATTCAAAATTTAATTACAAAGCATTCTTCTTTTGGCAACCTATATTAATTGTTACCCTATGTAAGCAAAAAAAAAAATCAAGCTGAAAAAGGAAAAATACATCTGCAGTATTTTTTCCTCAGACATATGTACACAGAATGCACCAAGTCTTTGACATATGAGTATGCCTGCCAGTTGTATCTGCAATGTAGCAGTCAGCAAGCTAAAAAACCCCAAAGCACCCGTACAGAAACAAAAAGACAAAAAAAATCACCATTTATAACTTAAGTTGAATCTTTACTTTAAAACGCAAGATTCTATGCAAGACTTGTTAGTCTTGTACTAACAAATAACCAATTGCAAGATTACTAAAATTTCATTCTTCTGTAAAGTTTCATGAAATAAGTTTTTGGAGCTTTGTAGAATCAACTACATTGCAAGAAAAAAAAATATCCATTAACTGTAGTAGCTAATTACAGTATCATCTATTTTAATATAATTTCCATTTAAAAGAGCTATTGCATTTCATATTTCAAATAATTTCAGAGATCTGATATAGTGTATATACTATAACCTTGAATTAATGAGGTCTATTCTAAACTACGGGAAGACTGCACTGGCATTTTTTATTTTGGGGTCTTTTTTCCTCAAGCTGTCAAAGACATCCAGTGCAACGTCAGCCAGAACAATTTATACCTATGAATACAGACATTTAATTATAATGAGAGCCAAGATAAACACCTTTCTTACTCTAAACAAGTATATCTTGATTCCTTTGCAAATGCTTCCTGTAATCAAGCCCATATTGTTATAGAGGATAGGCCTGGTAGGTAAAAAAGGCTCCTTAAAATGGTAACAAACAATGAAATTAAAATCTATTATTTTTGCCTAATTACAATTAATAGAAATGCCTAAAACTATCTACTTTTTCATAAATTAAAAATAATCAAAGGCTAATAAAGTTTATCATCATCAAGCTGATTTACCAATAAATGCCCTAAAGTGTATTTCAGAAAATGCACCTATCTCTACATACCCTAAAGATAAACTTTTCTGTAGAATTTCACACACTCTGCAGTGTGTATACAAAACATAAAATATGTTCTGCTCCATGTATGTTTAATTTAATGTTAAACACTGCTACATTAAACAATGCTGCATGTATGTTTAATGTTAGACTATCAGAATGTTTTGATTATGTATTAGTGTGGAAAAGAAAAGTACTAACATAGTAAGATTACTATATTCTGCAGTAGTACTAATAATATTAGTATACTTCACTAGCAACTATATAATTTTCTCAAAAAAGAAAATCACATTTTAATTGTAAAGCCCCGTATTATAATTGTCAGTAGAGGAACTATACTATTTTAGGAAAGGCTTCTGCTATCAGATAAAGTAAAAATTCACTGATAAATATGAAAATATAGAAGCTTTAGAAAAGCAGTTACATATAGCTGGCCAACAGATCTGCCTTTTTAGAATGCTCTTTCTGCACACGCACACAAACAATTAACACCTCTGACATTCACCAAGACATGGAGGAAGGGTGTAATTAGACCCAGTTTTATTGTTTCAAAATGAGTTAATCACTCACTTATACAGTGCAGGACCTTGTTCCTGCCTTTACCAGTTCCACTCTCTGTACGCATCCCAGAACCAATGCCGGATTACATCACTTTTGAGATGAACAGTAAGAAGCAGGTACGACTGACTTCACTGTACAGAAGCGGAAGCCTGCAGCTCACGTCTCGATGTTGTGTAATCCCATGCTTCAAACCACTTAGGCATCCAGTTGTGAAAGGATTCCCAGCTAAACTGCCAGAATTACTCACCAACTAATTTGTAAGAAATGAAACTAATTTCCATCTCATCCCATCAGGTCTTTGAGTTACATCAGAAATAAAAACTACCATACTGCCGTGGGAGGTGAAATCTGGCAGAAAGCCTTGTTACAGCAGACCCAAATAAGTATCTCTGGAATCAGGATAAAACTGAGTTGATAAGCCCTGAGAGACAAAGGGTGCAGCATAGTTTCTCCCCAGTGCATGCACATAACAGTAAACTTTGAGCCTCTTCCACTAGGTCCATCACCTCACTCAACACATAGCCAAATATCAACATCTAAAGTAGGAAGATCCCAAAAAGTGACGACTCTCCCCCTTCCTTTGCCATATGGTTGCAAGAAACCCATGAGTTACCTTACAACAGAAAAAATACTACAGGGGGAGCCGCTCCTAGCACACTTACTTAAGACTTGTTTTAAAGACAATGCCTTACAGGATACAGGACAGACCACCCTCCATTTACAAGCTCAACTGAGAGTTTATCATTAGATTGTGTAATAAATCTGATGAATAAAGGTTTTCTCAAAGCAATGAGGCCATATATGTCTGCTACTCTACATGTTATTTCTAAACTCTGCATATTATTTCCAGAAAATTCTCTGAAGGTAAACACTATTTAACCCACTACATTTATATTTAATCAACTGTAGAAGCAATATCAACCACATTGTGCAAGAAAAATACAACATTGTCTATGTACAAAATAAGTTATTGACAATGAAATCAATCTAAGCTAGAACTATCTACTGCTGCTTTAAGTTCTCATTTGTAATCACTATGCTGCACTAATTAACAATATTCTTACAAACAAGTTGAGTAAGTTAGTCACATTCATAATGTATACAAGGCTTAAAACCAATTTTTACAAGCTACTGCACCATTGTTCCATGCAAAAAGCTGCTATTACAGCTGCAAGGAAATTCCTAGAAGTTCTATGCTGCAACTAAAGTTCCAAAGAGGCAATATCACAAACTATATGTAAACAACATTATAAACAAAAAGGTGGTGAAATTTTGGGGATAACTCACTTTTCAAGTGGTCTGAAACCACTTAACTAACAGGGTTTTTTTAACCTTCCCTTGACTAGAACTTCACAATGAAAAACTCTTGTGAGACATGAAATAAAAAAAAAAATTAAATATAAATTTCCAAAAGTACTTCTATGAAGTACATTTTCATGACACTTCAAGAGAGGATTATCAAAAAGTAGATAATCTGTACTATAAAACCTGGACTCCTGCCAAGACATCTACAAAGCCAAAAACACTTCAAGAAATGTCTTTGTGAAGCCCTGTTTAAAGACTTGTAAGCCAAAAGATGATTTACTAAAACTTCAACCCCAACACAAAACTCTTTCAGTGCCCCAGTTTTCCTGATAATCATTAGTTTAAATGGTCATCTGCTTAAAAGGAAAAAAAAAAAAAAAAAAAAAAAAAAAAACAACAAAAAAACATTCAAAATAGTCTTCCAGAAAGCAAATCAGCCCCAGGTTTTCAGTTCTTAATCCTATCCACTTCAGTTACTGCTGGACCTGCTCCTGAACCAGCAAGGACAGCTATCATTTATTAAAAAAAAATTATGCTATGTTTATCAAAGTTTACAGTATAGATATACATCTGAAAGAAAAACAATGAACTAAACAACAGAAAACAATGTTGAAGACGACACACACTGGAAATTATCCCTAAATATCATGTAACAAGCCTTTTATTGATATCGTGAGATACAACTGACAGTTGAATCAGTGACCTACATTTTCAACCACAGCTTTAATAAAACAAGCAATGATAATTGACACAACTCAATAAAAAGTGATATATTGTTAAGTGTTAAAAAAATTGCTCCAACTAACAGCTAGCTTTTAAAGTTCTTTCAAATACTAGTTTTAAAGGAGAGTAACCAGCATATCACACAAAAACACACACCAGCTTCCCCTTTAATACACATACAATCTTTAATTAAACAGCTACATAGGAATTACAAACTTAAATTATGCAAAAAATCATCTGAAGAGTTACAGTTAAGTCAAACAGGACTTCAACATGCTTTAAGAACCTTTGCAAATTAACTCACCTCTGCCTCCTTTCTTCATCCTTTAAAACTTCATAGATAGCCACCAACTAAAACAAAAACAGAAAAAGGAAAAAACACACGAAAGAGTTTACTTTAGCATTGAGTTTATAAAGTTTGAATAGTAGTATCATATTTTACATTTGCCAACTAATGACCTTTGCTAGTTTTCACTTTCCCCTACAACACTAAGAAGCAAACTCAGTATGTAAGAGAAACAGTGACATATTCATATACAAAGTTTCATAAGATACACAAACAAGCAACTCCTACAAAAGACTTTTCTTCCCCTCCTCACATCTGTCAAACTAAGTCTTGTCTCAGCTACACCTTAAAAAAAAAAAGGTATCATTTGTTTCATCCTAAAGATCTTACTGAAATTAAGTAGCCTGTATTTAGTCATCAGAAGTATATTTTTAAAGGTAGAGCTAATTAAAACAGTTGCGGTTTCACTCTGTAAAGATTCAAAAGGTGAAAAGTCAAAAACGAAAATTAATTATTTTCATTAAATTATGCCTACATATGACTTGCATTGAGAACTGAACAGAAATTTTCCCTATTGCTTTTGAAAAGGGTATTTATAAACAGTCTTACCTAAAGTGCAAACTGTATTTTCCTCCTCAGAGTGCAAGTCTAAGTATTATCTTCAAATTATTTTTAATAGACAGGTAAATACTAAATCTGAGTTATTCAACAAGTTAATTCAAAAAACGTGTACTTGTTTTTAATCTAGCTACATCAGGAAAAATGTAATTCAGTGTTCAACTTAGTAATTTCAAAGGTATACCATTGCTCTTACTAAAATGACATAATCATAAAAAATTCTGATTCTATTTTCCCTAGAACTTTTATTGCCATATTACACTTACTTGCCTAAACTGTGTTTCTGCATTTTCATCTTTATTCTTGTCTGGGTGTAAAACCAGTGAAAGCTTTCGATATGCTTTCCGAATATCTGCACCCGAAGCATCCTGAAAAAGGAAAACAAAGCAAACTGTCAGAAACTAATTCCCAGAACTTTGTTAAGATGTGAAGACAGCCAACCAAGTGCAGGAACTAAGGCAACGTAATCTGAGACGTCTAACAACCAAGCCATCCAACTAGCCTAGCCTAAATGCCTGAACAGTCATCCAGTCCAATTCACCTTTCATTTTAACTTCCTTCATTACCATATATCCATTACAATTATATTTGCCAAACTTCCAAACACTTTTTTGCTTAAAAACTAACCCAGGCACCTTCTGCACCATTTAAAAGTTCAAATAAAAACTGAAAATTATTGCATCTGCATATCTTCGCGACAGATGTCATTTCAGCAAATTATCATGCTCAATTTCCCAAACTCAGGACTTGCTATGAACTCTTCCCTTATTAATATTTACATGTAATTCACCACTAATAGGACTTCCATTCAACTTCAGCTTCACCATGTCTGAAGAATTGTATTTTTCTAAAGTAGCTTCAAATTGCAGTCTTGAAGCTGTACTGTAGCACTGACATCAATTTATACCTCCTTAATCATTATAAGAATTGCACATATTTTGGGAGAAAAAAATAAAACTCGGATAGTAAAATGCATCAATGATGTACCAACTCAGCTGCACAATGCACAAATTTCTGAATTAATGACTGCTATTCAGTACATGCTATAAAGATATCCAGAAATGAAAGATTTGAGTTGTATTATAAAGTATATAGGTGTTACACTCACCAGAAGATCCACAAAGTATCACATTTAAACAGAACTACTTACATTCTATTACTAACATGTCCAAGGCAACATTTTAGAAATCAACTGTTTATCTGACAATTTTTGTTTCTTAATTTTATAAATATTGTTCCCCAGTATATTCTCTCTCTCAAAATTACAGTGTCAATAGGAATTAAAAAACACCAAAACGCAGATCTGAATTAGCCGGGAGAGGAACAGAGCTGAAATAAGATAATAATTAATGCAATACTGTAATTAGTCTGTCAGGCTTTTTATTACAAATCATTATTTTCATTTCAAAATTTTCAGTTTTATAACATGAGGCTATAATAATGCTGTATACAAATTTGGGCCAGAAGTGAATATTACAGAAAGACTGGAAGAGAAGGGGAAAAGGATAAAGCAGGGGAAAATGCAGAATTTGAGAAAATTCAACTTTGAAATTATATTTTAAGGAAGCAGGTATTATCCCCTAACGCAAGATCAAAGTTTCCACAGTCTTTAGTCTGTCAAAGGAAGGTGCTTTTATTACTCACAGTGAAGATTTCTCCTGAAAAGACCACATATGCATTTTTTCATTTTTAAATTTTCCAACAGCTACTTCTAAGGTGTGTGCACACCAAAGCAGAATTCCTCTGGTTAAGTACCAGCTTGCTTCCAGCTTGATTACTGCCAGTGAGTTGCTTCATATTGCCATTGTTTTATAGGTTTATTTTTAACTCTTGGTTAAGTGGAAGGAAGAGACAGTGATGAAATATCTATTCTAAGCACAAAGAAACATTAAATTCTTGAGATGTAGACTTAATAGAATTATATGAAATAAATGTGAAAAAGCAAAGTAAATAAATCTTTTAAAAATTAGGGATTGAGACCATGACAACTTCAAGAATGAGTACCTCCAGACCGTGTATTTGCAATAAACCACAGCTTATTCCTTCTCTACCACACATACAGAAGTGCTTGGTATTATTTTTGGAACACTCCCGATGAACAGTTAAAAACCTGATAAAAGCGTATTAAAGAGCTGTCCCACAGTATTCTTCCCATTGCTTCAAACAACAAACAAGCAAAAAAAAGTTACAGTGTTTTCAGTTGTATCCGAACAATTTAAACCTTAGTTTTATTTGGGAGCAGCATGATTATTTGTGTAAAAGATCAGGACAAAAGATAGTTTACCTGTTTCACGCTTAAGCAAAGCAAGAGATCCCAAGTCAACTCTGAAAAAATAAAGCTTCTTAAATATTTATGTTCCTTCACATTGAAAAGTTGAAACAAAAAAATTATAAATTTACAAAACCAGAGTGTTCATCTTAGTTACCAGAAATAATTTAGAGATTGTTTTGTTTCCCCTCATCCACCAACCCAGTCAGCCACTTCATAAACAATGTAGGCTTGTCTTCAAAACAGAATACAATATTTCAACACTACTACACCAAATAAAAATCAGGAAAGAGTTTACTGGCCACAGTTTTAGCTGAACCATGAAAGTGATCTTCATGAACATATCAGCTAATTGTAATTAAGCCTCTAAAAGGTTGAAAAGGGGACAGTAATGCCAATAAGTAATTAAATATGGGATGTTGCTGTAAATTATTTAATTACAATTGGTCCATATAAATTTCTAAAGCAACAATAAGTCTGCCTGCTAATCGGTTCTTCACAGTACTGTCAAACACAACACAGGAATATGTTGTATGTTCCAAACTTTTTGCTAATTAATGCTACCTATGGGTAATGTTAGGCATCTTCAGGCAAGGTTCCAGATCCTCTAAGAGCTGCCCTGAACAAAAGTGGTTGGTTTTTTAGAAAAGCCTCTCATCACTACAGAACTTCCTAGCAGTGTTTGACCCTAAATAAGCTACAAAGAATTATTATTTTCAAACTAATGAAGAAACATCTACCATACTGAAGTCAGCTGTTCTAAGAGACTTGCATTTATAAGCTAACTGATTCTGTTAGCCACCTTCAGTAACATTTCCATAAAGGCTGAGCAACAAAGCACTGAGTTAAGAGTCAGTGTTTTCTACAGATTGATATACTATTTTACATACTAGGGCAGAAGTCCAAAGATTAGAGACAGAAAGCCATAACCACACTAAGGTTTTGTTTGTTTTAAAGAAAAAGCTCAGAAGATGTGTTGGATGGCTTCGTTTACAATTCAGAAATCTCGATCTCAGTTACATCTAAGGAGGGAATAGGCATATCAGTTAACAGCAGAAGGAGGTGGTAACATTAGACAGCTAGTGCATTCAGTGATTTCTCCAACACTGTGCTTCAGGTTGGCAAGTTTTGCCACCAATTAAGGCAAACGAGCCTGTCACACTGTCTCCCTCATGTGGATACAAACATCAAAAGCATCACCCTATTTCTTGATAACTATCTTTTCAAAGCAGTGTTGTCCCATCATACTTCCAAGGTTGAACATCTCCTACACACCTGTTTCCAGTTAACTTACAAGTTGAGAACTAGTCTCACTGCAACAACAGCACATACTTCCACATACAGCATCTAAGCCCATTTTCATATGAGTCACTGCTGTTGAGGAGGAAAAAAGGCAATACTCCATCGTGTATATTTTGAAAAACAAAGCATAATATAAGCACTTATATTAAAAGATAATACAAAATGAATGCTCTAAGCTAAAATAAAAACTGCTCAACTGTCAGCTGCATAGCTAGAAAAAATGCACATAGTAGACAAGTCAAGGGAGGAAAAGGTGTTTTGTGCTAGAATTAGTTCTCAAATACGAAACTGCAAGTCTATATTTAGGTAGGCCACAGTTTGGCTTCTTATGCATGCAAATATGCAAGTATGGATGTAGGAATTTTTTAATTGCTAACACTTTATTGTACAAGCTGAGTGTCCATGTGTCTAGTTACATGACCTCTAGGTAGAAGTTAAAAGTTCAATCTTTTACACTTTTTCGCATAACCCTTGACACTACAAACAAGTATTTTAGCACACAAACAAAATTACCACTTGAAGGAATCAACAATATGTCAAAAGTTAAACACATTTCTTCAGGTACTCTGTTAGAATTTTTAATTTTTGTCTAAAGAGTGATACAAATCCAGTTCCCAGGGTGGGGGAGAAGTGGAAACATTCTTCTCACCATTTATGTCATTTACTTTTGGCAGCTTGTTAATTCAGACAATGAAAAACACATTACTAAATTTTATTTTATTCAGCATCATTTTCATATTCTCTAGTATTACCAAGAAAAGTTCTATCATTAGACTACAAATACATAAGGAGAAACAAAGAAAGGATTTTTTCACTACACAAAAAAATAAATACTCTAAACAGGCATTTGCCTTCCTTTTTTTTTTAAATTAAATCCTTGCTGAAAATGGACAAAGATTCAAATGTGGTCTCCTCCTCTGTCTATACAAATTCAGACTCCCACCTACGGAGTTCACTTCCACCTTTACAATAAATAGAAAAACTGGTGTAGTACAATACAAGTATATTACTGCATTGCCTTCTATTCCTAATGTAACTATGATTACTAATGAAGCTAAAAAAAGCCTCATTGTGGTCCCAAGACAATTCTTGGTGAACACATAACATATCAGATATTGCCATAGGCAAACAGTGATTAGGTCAAGGGGAAAAAAAATAATCAATGTCTACATAGTTTTCACTTACCAACATATACAATTCAAAACCTAAATTGTTCCCTTGAGTGCAATGCAGTTATACAACAAGACTTAGTTACTTACAATTTAGCAACTGCTTCTAATGCAGTAAATGTGCTCAATTCATCTTGGGTTTTAAATATGCCTGCCGATGTCTTCAAATAGGTGGTATTATCTTTATTAGCAATGGGAAGGCACGTGGTCCAGAGGACCAAGTAGGCGGATAGAAATCACATTTCTATTTACTTGCAGTTTGTCCAATCACTTGTTAATGGGTGAAAAGAGAATGACATCAGTATATTTATTTCATTACAGTGCTGCTGAATAACTGTGTAGAATTTTCCACAGCACATATTACTGAAGCTATGTAGCAACCAAAAGTGACAATGGCATAGAGCACCAGCTGACTGTATTTCAAGTGTGAATCTTAAATAACCTCAGCACAGGCAGACCTTCATGAGGCCTTTTTCAGTCTTCCCAAATTATAAATCAAACTTATATAACTCTTGGGTTTGGGTTTGGTTTTTTATTCAAAAGCAATTGAAATGTATATGGTTTCTTCAACAAAATATTCCATTCAGAATTTTTGTGTAGAAGAAGGGGTATAAAGTCACTACTTTCCTTTTGGTAACCATCAGGTATACA